AACCTAAAGAGAGAGTGTTGAAAATTGAAATCTAGGGACTCGTTTCACATTGGTTAACCAGCTCATCAGGCACATTAGATGTAATTTTAGTGGCTAAATGAAGAACATTTTTGAAAACTGGATAATTCTTACTGGGTAAATTTTTTCAGTCAGATTTTGCAACCTCTAAGTAGCTCAAGTGTAAAAATTTCTCATTTTACACACTTTCATTTTCTGGACTTTTATCGAACAATATTTTGTACTATACGTCATATTGGGTTATCGTACATGGGATGGGATGATTCTTGCCACTTAAAAACTAACGTTAATATATACGTGTAACGTCGTATGGGAACTTGTTTTCCGAAAAATATTCAAATTTAAATGAAACAAAGAACCAAATCCGAATGTTGCTGTCTTATTCTGATTTCTAAATGCAGCATTAAAGTGGTCACAAGCGACAGCAGGTATTCTAATCACCACAGCCATTGATGCAACGGATGACAATAAAATGGTCATTAAAAAAATATTTTATTGCTACAATAACCCGACAACTGTGTGGCATGGTCTTACCTATATTCTTCAGACAGCCCAGTGTAGTATTTAAAAGAAGATGTCAATTTTGAGTTCTATTCATTTTGGTCGCCACCAACTAAACTGGGAACATGTCGTGGCGAAAATTGTGGTGCACCTTGTCTTTGCTTGTGATAACCACAAGCTCTGTATTTTCCAAAGAAATTGTTAAAGTCGAAAAAATTGACCAGTTGGAAAACTCCTCCAACACCACTAGTGAAGATCGAATACTTTTGCATCATATTATGAATAAGTACCAACGACCAGATTATCCCAATAACCAAACACCGCCAACTCCACCCACCACTACTGCGACGACAACTACAACACCACCAACACCCGCAACAGCAGCTCCCACTACCACCCCAACTAAGCCATCTGCTGCCGAAAAAGAAGAAAAACTGCAAGAATTGTTGCCGATTATAAAGGCTATACTTGAAGCAATTAAAGGTGCAACAGCAAAAACAATTGTTTATGAGGCACAACATCCAGTTCCTGCTCCAGCATACTATTATCCACCACCAGGCTCCATGTATTATTCTCCACCTCCGGCACCGGCTTATAGCGCACCAGTTAATAGATACAGTTATCCGATATCTCACGGTTATTATGCACCACCACCACCTTCCGAAGGGTCATTGTTTATGAATAAAGGCCAGAGAAAGGACAATTATTCTGGTTACAACAAAAACACATAAATGGTCTCCAACAACAAAAACTAAGCGATCTCACAGAACTCATTCGAGGAAATAGTGTCTCAGATCGGAGATAAAATATTTATCCCATGCCGCCATCACCAGCTTCGATATTTTCATATTCTCAAAATTGCAATTACCATCTTCTTATCTCCATTTAATATTTTGAATAAAAAAAAAGAATTAATTTTATACAACAACACTGTTTTAGTTTTTGCATAATTTTCAATATTTTGGACAGGTGGCGTATCATTTTTGAATCCATACTGAAATTTTTCGCCAAGAGATCTTTTTATACATTTGTTTGTAACTGGGAGAAGGGAGCGAGATAGATCCATAGTTACTTTTGAGGATCTTCATAGAATCACTTTCTGAGTCGAGTTATGCATGTCAGTGCGTCTATACGTCCATCCGTCCGTCCGTTTGTCCATGTATTTTTGTGAACAAAATGCAGATCGCATTTAATATCCGACTGAGATGAAATTTTCCAAACAATATTTGTTTGGCCCAAGGACGCAACCTATTGAAATTGGTGAGAATCGGTTCAAATTTAGATATAGCACACATATATATCTTCAACCGATGTCGGGTTAATTGTGCACTAAATGGCCAATATCTGGCAAATGACCTGAACTTTGGCACATCCGACCGAATGAAGTCTAGAAGTAAGTACATCAAATTTGTAGAAAATCGCATCAGATATAGCCATAGCTCCCATTTATATGTTTCATCTGATTTGGGGTTTTAAGTCCCTCATATGCGTATTATGCACTCCACAAGAATGATATTTGGTACTATATAACTTATAGAGCTCAAAGATACCTCTATCAAATCTAATCGAGTTGTGATCAGTTTTATATATAGCTCCCTTATATCTTTATCAGATATCAGGTTTATTGTACACCAGATGGCTAAAATCAGCCCAAATGAACTGCATTTTGGCATTTCCGACTGAATTCAGTCTAGAAGCAAGTACTTCAAATTTTGGTGAAAATCGGTTTAGATATAGCTATAGCTCCCACATATATCACACTCACTCACTCGATTTGGTGTTAAAGTCCTTCACATGCGTAATATACAATCCTCAACAATGATATTTGATATCGGACATCAGATGCAGCTCGAAAATACCCCTGTCATATTTTATCTAGATTGGCATAAATCATTTTTATTTGCCTTCAAAATACATCTTCATTCGATTTTACGGATATTGTTCACCATATATGTAATATCAGCCAAAATAGGATACATTTTTTTCATATTCCATCGAATTTTTCCATTTGGTGATATTCGGTCCGGTATATCTATAAATATTCCAATAAATATTGTTACATAAGATGTACATTATTATCGAAGTCATATCATGCACCACATAACAATGTTATTTGATCCTAGAGGTACAAAAGCCTCCATCAAATTTGTTGAAAATCGATTCAGAATTGGATATAGTTTCCAAATTGATACACATTCAAATAAGGTTCATAGTTGTGGTATGATCTACTTCACATAAATTCTCAATATAATTTTTTTCGTTGCGAGAGCTCTACTAAATAACGACCCCGCCTGACTTTTGACCCTCCTTTGTTATTTTGCGAAGAATCCAGCCGATTTCAGTAAAAAAACTTGTTCTATGTGTTCTCACCCTAAGGCTTCTTCCATTTGGTGCTGGCTTTTAATCTCGGCCAAAAACTTTTTACCAAATATTCAAAAAGAAAGGAAGAAGTATAAGAGTTGCAAGTGATTGCAGGAAGAAAATTGTCGGGAAAGAATTTACAAACTCTTAAAAGAACTGTCAAAATTTCTCTATCGAATTGCTCCCTTTTATATCTTCTTCTTTTATATTTATAAAAGAGGGAAATGTTTGTATGTTTGTTTTTTTTTTTTTTTTAATTTACGGACTCGAAAATCGCTGCACAGATTTTCAAGTATGCATACTTCAACATCGCCTGAAAGTATCATTTGGATATAGCCCCCATGTATATTTTCGGCCGATTTCATTTGTTTGATGCCCCAAACACGATGTATATGTTCGATTCCAATGAGATTTGAAATGTGCGACGGAATTTTATTAGAAAAAACAAGTAAAAAACATTAAGTTCGGCCGGGCCAAACTTTTAATACTAAGTAAGTAAACATTAGAAGAAATGTGGCAAAAACCATTAAAATGCCGAATATCGGCAGGGCTACACCGTTATATTGGGGCTATACCAAATCGTGGACCTACACATACAATGTTTCGCCAAAGGAGCTAGAACCCATTATGACCTACAAATACCAATTTTCAGACAAATCCGTGAAAAAATGTGGCAAAAATCATCAAATTACCGAATATCGGGAGGTACCGTTATATGGGGGCTGTACCAAAACGTGGACCTATAATTACAATGACTCGCCACACGAACTAGGACCCATTATGATCTACAACTACCAATTTTCAGAGAAATTCTTAAAAAAATGTGTCAAAAATCATCAAAATACCGAATGTTGGGAGGTACCGTTATATGGGGACTATATCAAAACGTGAACCTATACATACAATGTTTCGCCTCACGAACTAGTACACATTATGACCCACAAATACCAGTTTTTAGACAAATCAGTGAAAAAATGTGGCAAAAACCATCGAAATACCGAATATCGGGAGGTTCCGTTATATGGGGGCTACACCAAAACGTGAACCCATACATGCAATGTTTTGCCACCGGAGCTGGAACCCGTTTTGACCTACAAATACCAATTTTCAGACAAATCCATGAAAAATGTGGCATAAATCATTAAAATACCGAATAACGGGAGGTACCGTTATATGGGGACTATACCAGAACGTGGACTGATATATCTCATTTTCAATACCAACCATCCTAGACACAATACAAATTGTTCTGCTAAATTTTGGCGCTCTACGTCAAATAATGTGGGCTGTATCGTGATTTCAACAGACGGACAGACAGACAGACAGACGGACATCGTTAAATCGACTTAGAATTTTATGCTGATTATGAATATATATACTTTATGGGGTCTGCGACGAATATTTAAGGATGTTACAAACGGAATGCCAAAGTTAATATACCCTCCTTTCCAAGGTGGAGGGTATAAAAACTTGTCAAATAATATTGAAATCGGTTGAGATTTGGATATAGCTCTCATGTATATTTTCGGCCGATTTCATTTATTTGATGCCCCAAATATGATATGTATGTCCGATTCCAATGAAATTCGGGCAGAGAGCCGAGATTTGGTACCAAAAAAAAAATTATATTGAAACCGGCTGAGGTTTGGGTATATCTCCTATATATATTTTTCGGCCGATCTTATGTATGTTATGTACCAAACACGATATGTATGACCGATTCCATTTAAATTTAGAATGTGTGGCGGAATTTGGTTACAATAATAAATTTGTCAAATTAGCTCCCATATTCATTCTCGGATATTTCCAGTAACAATTATTACAAATTTTAGGACATTCATGTCCAGTGATATAAAGTGTTAATTTCTCTAAAATATTCCAAATAAAGTTTTTGCTATGTTTTCCCTATTTTATCCATGATTAGACATCAATTTTTAATACAATTTAGTAAAAACTGCAATTTAATAACAAAGTTTCTCACACGAGCGGAAAAGAGCTGTCTGTGGTAACCAGACAGACCTCATAAATCACACTTTTTATGTTCTTCGATGTTCAAATTTCACTGTACCTCTTGGAGAGGTTGCAAGGCCATGGCCATATATAATAATAAACTCCATGGATAGTGTTCAGATTTCAAAATTATATTTTTTTACGATTTTTTCTTTATAAAATTGCATATGGATATGGAAGTGGGGACGGGGATCCGTAGTAATTTAAATACTGTGGCGTTTCCAAATAGGCATTGCCGAAGTCATTTTGCGCTGGATACTCGTAATTTGGCCATGCATAGGGATCATAAACACCATATTCATAGGCATCATTTGCCACTTGTCTATTGTAAATAGCACTGCCCACAAGTTGTCCGATCAATTGCATTAAATAAGCAGATCCATCAGGCTCGACGGCATTTTTAATGGCAGGTTTTAAAGTAGGAATAGTTATGGCTGGTTTTTCTGTAATTGGATTTGTTGGTATTTGTTTGGACCCTTGCGTATTGTAGGCATTACTGCTGTGTTGATGTATTCCGCCAGTATTCAATAGAATTGTAGAACACACCTGGCCCAGTATGGTTGCTGAAATTGTTTACAATAAAATACAAGTGAATAGAAAAATATTTTTTTAGTGTTTTTTTTACACGAATATATACCCAAAAATAAAACCAGCAACCGATACCTCATCTTGCGAAGACTTGTGTTTTGACAATGAAACCGTATTTTCAAATTCTTTTGGTTTTTATATCGAAACCAAGGCAGATGAGGGACATAGTTTTCACTTTGAGAAACTTCATTAAAGAGATTTAAAGATTTCCTTTCAGAATATGTAAATTTTCATTTCCATTCGTGTTCATTTACAAAAGATGTAGTGTTTAATCCGGCCATCTTTATGGCCATCCCACATTTTTTCTCCAAATGATCGGTGTTCTCCCTTTCCATTGATAGATTTTTCCAGAAGAAAATATGTTAATTTTATTATTGATCCAAAGAAAAAATGCTGTATTCGCTGTTATATTTATGGACAACCCGCATTGTTCTTTCGAATAACCGGTGTTCTCTTTCTGGATGGGTAGATTTCCACACATCAGAAGTGCATCTTTTAATGTGTTGCCCCAAAGCCAACATTGGCGTCATGTAGTCATAAAAACAAAACATCAAATTCGAACTGGCAGAATCATCTAACAGTTTAATAAACAAAATACTGAAGGTGGGGGTATGTGAGCAGCTTGGCATTCTGGCATGGCATATTTGGTAACATATCATAAGAAGAGATGTCAGAGGCGCAGTCTATTCCTTCCGTGATTTTTCCTTGTAATTTGACTACTTTTTTGAAAATAAGGTCAAATATTTTAGCCTTGAAATAATTGAAACCAGTAAGGAATGGTCAAAAGTCGGGCGGGGCCGACTATATGATACCCTACCCCACTATGCGTATTTAGTAGAGCTCACACAACAAAAAAGTTTATATAAGGAATTTATGTCAAATAGATCATACCAATTATGAACCAAATAACATTGCTGTACAGGGTGAGATAAAAAAATGCAACAAAGTCAAACACCATAATTTTTACATTTTTTTTAATTTTATCGAATGAGAGCAAAAAATGTTGGAAATAACATCAAATTTTAGAATAAGTTTAGAATTGTTCGAATTGCTGAATTTTGGCCCAATCCCGGCGAAGCGCTTGCTTGAGATGATCGACACTTTGGTATGTTTTAGTGCCGACCTTGCTTTCAAAAATACTCCAGACACAATAGTCCAACGGATTGGTATCCAGAGATATTGGTGGCCATTGTGCGCTGGAAATGAAGCGAGGAAACTCATTTTGTAACCATTCCTAGGTGGCTCGTGCTGAGTGCGAAGGTGCTTAGTGCGTGCCCAAGTGTATCAACACCCTCCAAAATATTTTCGCGATAATATTCAGCCACGGTCGATTAATACGAGCGGAGAGCGACCATCGGCTGTTATGGCGGCCCACACCATGGTCGGCGCTTGAGTTCTGTTCAACGAATGTTTTCTCATCGGAAAAAACCAAATTCGGCAGTTCACCACTTTCAGCCAAGCGAAGCAACTCTTTAGCTCTTTTGAGTCTATTTTCTTTCTGTTGCGGTGTAGGTTCTTTCACTTTTTGGAATTTCAATGACTTTACCCCGAGCTCATTTTTCAATATTTGCCGAATGGAATATTGCGATATGTTCAGCTCACGAGCCATTTTGCCACTGCGACACGGGCTTCAATCAAGTCGCTTCTTTTCTGTTCGAACCATTTTCTTCCATCCATTTCCTTGATGTCGGGCTACGCTACCAGTATCACGGTAACGAGCGATGGATTTATTCACATTTAAATGCTGGAGTACTCTAACGATAGCCACTTGTGGTTTTCCAGCCAAATATAAAGAAATCACAATATCACGCTTGAATTCCATCACGAATAACTTTATTTCTAGAAAATTCTCACCGAAATGCTATTTTACGCTTGAAATTTAAGCAGCTGTCGGATGAGTGGCTTAGAAATGACAGCAGTCTGAAGATGGTTGCAGTTTTTAAACCCTTAAACTTAAAGAACTTAAAACCCTAAATCGCATGAAACATATATATATGGGAGCTATAGCCATAATTAGCCACAAATTAATTTTTTAATATTTTTGGCATTTGTATCAAAGTTCATAAGCGTTGACATATAGACGTTTTCGGTTTCTTCCTTCTGCTATGAGTTCTCCTTTGTTAACAGTTATACGGCATATATGTTTATCACCATTCTTTTCAATATTTATTTAATAAATAAAACTGTGTGTGTACAAATTCCAGGCATAATGAAGAGATTATTATTTCTCGTCAGCTTAATTAATATGCAAATACATTCGAATATGAACGCGATGACGAGTCTCTTTACTTGCGTTGATTTTTGTAGCAAACCTAAGGCATGAAGACGATGATGAGTCACAAAAATGGATCAACAAAATCGATCAGTTCGTACAAATATACATCAATTTGACGATTTGAATTCACAATTAAACATTTAGGATATCCCGATGAAGTCATCATCGTCAGAATTGTTGACAGAGACCGATTGAATGCTTATTAAGGAAGGGGATTTTCATTCAGATTTTATTTGTTTTTATATTCTCGAAAACAGTATCCGATTTGGTCCAAACTTGGTAAATCGTAATATTTTTTATCAAACTTATATTTAGTTCGAAGATGGGCATAATCGGTTCACTCCTTCTAGTATCTCTCCCACTAAACGTCGACATTTTCAAAAAAAAAAATATTTTACTACACAGAAAGGGAAAAAAAATGATCAGATTTTGCTCCAAATTTACAAAATCTAATATTTGCATCAGCGCTCTGCCAGGTGCGAAAATGGACAATATCGGTTCACCTCCCCCACAAAGGGGGAACATTTTGAATAAATATAACTCTTATAAAATGTGATGTAAGAGACCGATTGCCTTCAAATTACACATATCACAATATTTTTATCAACCCAAGGTCTGGTGTGAAGATGGGATATATCGGTCAACTCCTTCCGGAACAAACAAAGAGTCAAAATTTTCAATATCCATGAGTCTCAGAAAACGCAAAATTAAAATCCGATTCCATTCAGACTTGGTACATCTCAATATTTACACCAACACAAGATCCGTTATAAAGATGGTGGAGATTGGACCAATACCTGAGGCTGAGGGTATACATCTGTCGGCAAAACCGACTGATACTTTTTTACTTTTTTTTTTTTTTGTAACTCATCGAAATAATCATTTTAAACATAACAAAGTATATATTCGAAATCAGCATAAAATTCTAAGACGATTTATCGGAAGCTAAATTTTTGCACAGATCAGTCTTTTGGCTACAGACAGGTCAAGTTCGAAGATGGGATATCGGTCTTCGATATCGTATAGCCCCATACAACGGAACCACCCGATATTCGGTATTTTAATGATTTTAGCGACATTTTCCAATGCAATTGCCTGAAAATCCACACAAGGAGTTCTTACTGAGTACTTCATTGTCTATATAGGTCCACGATATCGTTTTCCCCAATATAACGGTTCCCCCTATAAAATCGGTATGTTGATGATTTTAGCATCATTTTCCGATGGAATTGTCTAAAAATCCATGCTAGAAGTTCTTTCCAAGCACTTTACTCCCTGGAAGAGAAATATCTATATAACTTCAAGATAGCGTTTGGCCCACATCCAACGGTCTTCGTATAGCCTCCATATAATTGTACATCCCAATATTCAGTATTTTGATAATTTTAGCGACATCGTTCACCGGAGTTGTTTCCAATTTCGTATTTAGAGTTCGTAATGGGAACTAGAGTCTATGACAGAAAATTGCCTATGCAGGACCAGGCCTTCGTACAAGCCCCATATATCAGTACCTCCCTATATTCGGTATTTTGATGATTTTAGCTACGGATTTTTTTCAAGTTTCGTATTTCAATATTGTAATAGCTTATGACAAAAGTTGCCTATACAGGTCCACGTCTTCGTATAGACCCCAATATAACGGCTATATTCGGTATTTTTAAGATTTTGACAGAATTTTTGGCGAATATTATTTATATGAAAATTTCCAAATTCGTTCCAAATGGTGGAGGATATTTAAAGTTCGGCCGAACTGCTTTTTTACTGGGTTTTTATTAATTTTTTTTTCGCAAATTTGATGTTAGTATCGAAACATTTTTAAGATACTGTCCATAATCATCAGCAGACTTAACAACATATTCTCTGTGCCTCACAAAATTAGAATATCGACTTTCAGCACAAATCATTTATATCGCCTCAGGATTTCAAATTTGGTAAAAACACAGATTTTTTTAAAAGTCTTTTATTCCACTTTAATTACTTTTTCAATATGCACATTCGTTTACATCTTTTTCACCAAACACTTTCACATCGGAAAAAGTTTTATGCTTCACAACATGGCCCTGTTATAAGGTCCCACTTCCAAGCCAGCCGATTACCAAATTTAATGTAAAAATGCATTATTGTATTGCACTGTGAGTGAACCTATTGTGTCGGTGGTATTCATATCATTTTCGGCGTTGCAACATCATAATGCGAAGAGATCGAAGATATTTAATTGTATTTTCCCAACGTAATCTCCTCTAGTTTTCAAATGAGTTTCTTGGCGGATGGTCAATAAATTATCATAAAATAGACTTTTATTGGTCTTTTGATTTTCCTCATGTGTGCATTAGGCGGTGAGTGATCGAATTTATTTGGGTATAAAAGCTTTGGTAGATTAGAAATTGACATGTCATTCAGTCACCGTTAACTAAACTGGGAAGATGTCGTATCGATTATTGCTGTGTACGTTGCCATTGATTCTGCTGACCACGAGATGTGTGTTTTCGGAAGCAGCTCCATATCTGTATCCACCTCCGGGACCTGTAAATTATCCAGTAGGTGGTACATACAGTCCTCCACTACCATATACCGATGACAGGACATTTTTCTTCAATAAGTTGGGTCTTTTTGGTGGTGGTGGAGGTGGTTTTGGTACTGGCACTGGTGGTTATGGTTCTTACAACAAATACAATTATGGAAATTATGGTGGTGCTGGTGGTAATGGCTATTACGACAAATACAATTATGGAAATTCGCAGCCAGGTCAACCCACTCCCCAAACTCCACCAGCAACTGCTCCAACAGCTGCTCCAACTACAGCACCCACTACAACAGCAGCACCCGCCACGACAACTAAATCATCTGCGCAAAAAGAAAAAGAGTTACAGGAGATAATAAAAATAATTGTTGATCTGATTAATGCAAACAAAGGTGGAACTACTACCCGCTATGGTGTTCCTGCTGCCCCTCCAGTTCCTGTTCGCTACTCTCCACAACTTTATTATCCAGGACTTTAAAATAAAAATAACCATTAAATTATTAAGATATTTAATGTTGGTTTTATTACTACTGCTCAAATTTAGGAACTTATCCTTTGATTTATGACATCATTCGGATATTTTTGAAAAAAAAAAAAATATTTCATACGGATAATGTAAATATTATATTATTAACAAGTAAAAACGTAGTAAGTTCGGCCGGAACGAACTTTGAATACCCTCCACCATTTGGGATGAATTTGGAAATTATCAAATAAATAAAATCCGTTAAAAATTCTGTTACAGTATTAAAAAAACCGAATATAGCCTTTATATTGGGGTCTATACGAGGACATGGACTTGCATAGGCAACTTTTGTCAGAAGCTATTACAATATTCAAATACGAAACTTGAAAAAAAAAAAATCCGGTATATAGGGATGTACCGTTATATCGGGGCTGTACGAAGACCTGGCGCGGCACAGACAATTTTCTGTCACAGGCTCTAGTGCCTATTAGGAACTTCAAATACAAAATTTCAAACAATTTCGGTGAATATTGTACCAAAAATCGTTAAAACACCGAATATTGGGAGGTACCGTTTATCGGGGTTATATGCAGACGTGGGCCTGCATACGCATTTTTTTTTTTGCCATAGGCTATAGTACCCATTACGAATTCTAAATACGAAATTTGAAACAACTCCGGTGAATAATGTCCCTAAAATCGTCAAAATATCGAATATTGGGGGGTATTGTTGTATGTGGGATATACGATATCGTGGACCTATATAGACTTTTCTTTTCCAGGATATAAAGTGCTTAGAAATAACTTCTAGTATGAATTTTTAGACAATACCATTGAAAAATGTAGCTTAAATCATCAAAATACCGAATATAGTGAGGTACCGTTATATGGGGGATATAGGATATTCTGGACCTATATAGATAAAACTCTTCCAGGGGGTAATGTACTGAGAAAGAACTCGTTTTCTGAATAAACATAAAACAAGTCAAAATATATTTTATCAAACGGACTTAGGCTGAGGGTATACATCTGTCGGCAAAACTGACTCGTACTTTTGAACTCATTGCGGGTAAATCTGGTTGAATAAATCCGGAATAAGCAATAAATTCTCATGATGACATTTTTATCTAAACGCTCTCAAACAAAATTCCTTAAATGAAAAAATAATTATAAAAAATTATGCACAAAAAGAACCCGCAATATTTAACTGCAGCTAATTAAATTGAAAATTGGAACCGAAATTCTCAAATTACCACAAAATTGAAATACATGCGGGCTACATCTAAACGCGAACCGATGTACAGGGTGAGATGAAAAAACTGCAACCAACGTCAGACTGCTGTCATTTCTAAGTCACTCGTCCGACAGCTGTTAAAATTATTCCAGTGACAGCTCATTGTGTTGTTTACAAGAGTACGAAAGCATTTTGGTGAGAATTTTCCAGAAAAACCAGTTTTTCGTGATGGAATTCAAGCGTGATAGTGTGATTTCATTTATTTGGCTGGAAAACGACAAGTGGCTATCGTTAGAGCACTCCAACATTTAAATGTGAATAAATCTTTTGTGTCTCGTACCATCGCTCGTTACCGTGATACTGGTATCGTTGCCCGACGTCAAGGAAGTGGACGGAAGAAAACAGCAACATCAGCAGAAATGGTTCGAAAAGTAAAGAAGCGACTTGATCGAAACCCGCATCGCAGTGGCCGAAAAATGGCTCGTGAGCTGAACATATCGCAATATTCGATTCGGCAAATATTAAAAAATGAGTTCGGGATAAAGCCATTGAAATTCCAAAAAGTGCAAGATCTTACACCGCAACAGAAATAGACAGAAATTTGACTCAAAAGAGCTAAAGAGTTGCTTCGCTTGGCCGAAAGTGGTGAACCGACGAATTTGGTTTTCTCCGATGTGAAAACATTCGTTGTCCAGCAGAGTTTATAAACAAACAAAATGATCGTGTTTACTTGCTAAGGAGGTCAGTTGAAAATGTGCACCTTCGGTTGGCCACCAGAACTCAAGCGCTGGCCATGGTGATGGTGTGGGCCGCCATAACAGTCGCTCTCCGCTCGTATTAATCAAAATAAATGCCGAATATTATCGCGAAAATAATCTGGAGGGTGCATTAAAGCCTTGGGCACGCAAACATTTGGCCGCATACCTTGGACATTCCCACAGGACTCAGAACGTGCCATACAAGAATGGTTACAAAATGAGGTTCCTCATTTCATTTCCAGCACCAATGGCCACTAAAATCTCCGGATACCAATCCGTTGGACTATTGTGTCTGGAGTATTTTGGAAAGCAAGGTTGGCACTACGTGCGGAGTGTCAAGTTGACCTCTTGTCATAACGGGCAACATTTAAATATAATCTAAAAAACCAAATGTCATCTGTCCCATTGTCTTTGTTTTCATTCAATGGCTTGGAAAACTCTTAGCTACTAATGCGGTAATTTACATTTTTTTTAAATTTTTTGTTCATTTTTAAATCTAAATATAACCTAAGTTTTCCCCTTTTCTTTAAACAAGTTAAGGTCGAATGCACATTAGCATCACGTGGAAGGTCGACGACCTATATAAGCTTAAATATTTTAAAAACACACACTTAATAGCTTGAAAAAATAATCTTGACAAAAATGGAGCTGGTTTTCGGTAAGTTTGGTGTGCCAAAGTGTGTCTTTTCATTATTTATATCACATTTTCCCTTGATACTACCTTTGACTTCCTATAATCTCGTTTAACAAAGTTTTTAACCATACAGGGTGCGATAAAAAAACTGCAACAAAGTCAATAGCAATAATTTTTACTTTTTTTTAATTTTATTGAATGAAAGCGAAAAATGTCGGAAATAGCATCAAATTTTAGAATAAGTTTAGATTTGTTCGAATTGGTCACCTTTGACACTAATTATTCCAATGTTCCAATGTTTTCATATGCCCACTCTAGACCCACTGACATACATACAATGTCACTTTTGTCTTCTAAATGAAATCAGACAACAACAACAAAAGCTTAGAATGAACCTACCGGAAACCTGTTATCAAAAAGTCATATGAAGCCAAAACATTAGGTATGGATCATTTAAATATGGCAACGACGATACATAGCTTAGTCCAAACCCTGTTGATTAGATCAATAATAATATTTTGTATACAAATCTATTTCTTTTTATTTAAATTCATTATCTAAAATTCAATTGGTAATTGGGAAACATCGTCTGATCATAAAGAAATTTTTGAGGGGTATACTGAACTACTGGTGGAGTGTAATACTCCCTATATTCATAGGGGTTATATTGTGGCAGGACCTGATTGAAACGGGCATTGTTATTATTATTGACAGTGTAAATGGTGGTTACCAGATCCGTTATATCACGCAAATTTGATGTCGAGGGTGCAAATAGGTTGGGTGTCAACGATGAACCACCACCTAGACCTCCACCAAATCTAGTGGTTCCAGGCCAGCCAAATGGTGCAGGAGACTGAATGTTGAAGGGTGTTGCAGACAACCCTGTTGATGGTAATGCATTGAGGGATGTTAATAAAGGTCCAAGGATGGATAAAAGACTTGAGATATCTGCTGGTGTTATTCCGCCAGTTGTTGTTGTAGTTGTCCCACTAGCTGTCGTTGTAGCAGGGGCACTTGCTGGAGCCGTTGATTCAGAACTGAATTTGTTAGTATCATGTACTCCACCCGTATTGACCATAATCATAGCAACTGCTTGTCCCAGCATAAAAGCTTAAAACGATTCAAATAATACAATTAAGATTTCAAATATAAATTTCAAATCAAATTCAAAGAGCTAATGTAAACACCAAACATACCCAGAAATAACCCCTGAAGTAGTTGACACTTCATCTTGACACGAGTATTTTCATAACTATGAAGCGATATTTTCAAATTGCTTGAGTTTTTATAGGCTGCCCCTTCTCCTACCACTGGTCGTAAAGGTTTATATTCTTTTTTTTTTTCTTCGTTGAGAACTTGTTCGAAGAGAGGTGAAAGTTAGATTTTTCTTTAGAATAATATGTAAATTTTCCCATTAGCAGCTGAGATGATTCGTTATACCCACGGGCACAAAGAACGCCTGAGTTTTTCTATGTTTTTTCTATTAATTTAAAATAGTCGCCATTATAGAGGTTTGCCCACGTTTATTATGGCTTTAAAAATTTTTCTTGTGTGCGTTAAATTTCGTTTAATAAAACATTCTTAGTATTTCAGGTAATCAAATGGTGAGTGGGTAGGTTTAATAAAAAAGAGGGGGATCAAATAACATTTGAAACTGAAACTCCGTAAAGGCGTTAATACAATTTCCAAAACCAATTCCATATCTCAATTCCAAATACCAACAAAGACCTCAATATCAATTTTAGAGACCAGATACAAACATAGACCTCAATATCAATTTTAAGGATTTCAGCCCCATCTCTTCACTTTTCGAAAATTATAGTACACATTTCCAAAACCATCTCCATATCTTAGCCACATACACAAAACAGTGACATCTATATCAAATTTCAGGATTTCAGCTATTTTTCTTCACCCAATACCCAATTTAATACCACATAGTACTTTTCGTACAATTATAGTACTCATTTCCAAAACCATCTCCATATCTTAGCCACATACACAAAACAGTGACATCTATTTCAAATTTCAGCTCTATTCCTTCACTTAATACCATATTTTAGTACCCTTTAGTACCTATCGCACATCAACCTTACGTATTTCCAAAACCACCTCCATGTCTCAACACTACACACAAATTCTGACTCAAACAACAAAATCCAAAAACCAAACTCTACCCGTACAATCAGTACTAAATGTTATACCATTTATTACCTTTTGTACTCTTGTAATACCTCTTCCTAAAAAATAATTCCAAATTTCAAGACTGCAGTTCTATAGGTTCAACCAAATCCAATTTGTACCAAATCGAGTACCATTTAGTACACATAAGTACGAAAATCTAAAAGTTCCTACATAATTCAACAGTAATTTTAATTCTTAATTTTAGGATTCCATAACTATCGGTTCGCCCATATCCAAATTGTACCATTTGGTACCGTTTAGTGCATACCTCAATTCTACACTTCAACAGTAATCCTAATTTCAAATTTCAGGATTCCAGCCTAATCGCTGCACACAAATCCAATTTGTATCAAATTTAGTACCCATAAGTATGAATTTCCAAAACTTTCGACATACCCCAATCCTACACTCCAAATTTTCAAAACTACTTCCATACCTCAATCATACAATCCCATAAAAATCTTATTTCGAAATTTCAACATTCCAACTCTACTGGTTCACCAAAATTACAATTTGTTTTAAATTTAGTATCGTTTGGTACACATAAGTTCAAATTTCCATAAGAACCTGCATCAAAAAATCCACTAGAAATCGCATTTACTAATTTCAGGATTCCAGCCCTATAGGTTCACCAAAATGCAAATAGTACCATTTAGTACACATTAGTACGAATTTCAGAATTCCACCAATATCGGTTCGCCTAAATACAAATATACCAATTTTTTTTTAAAAAACTTTAGGATTCCAACTCTACTGGCTTCCAACCATTCCCGGCGAAACGCTTGCTCGAAGTGATCGAAACTTTGGTATTTTTTAGTGCCAACCTTGCTTTCAAAAATACTCTAGACACAATAGTCCAACGGATTGGTATCCGAAGATTTTGGTGGGAATGGTGCGCTGGAAATGAAGCGATAAACCTTAATTTGTTACCATACCCTCCAGAATATTTTCGCAATAATATTCGGCATTTATTCTGATTCCACGGTCGATTAATACGAGCGTTCGAAAATAATCAGTACACAACATAGTGTATCGTACCGGTACAGTATTACTAAAAAAAATTTAGTGGTAGTGCACCGGTACACTTTGTAGTGCTCCGACCCCGGTACACTACGATCTTTTAGTGTTCCGACTGCGGTACAGTACTATTTTTTAGCGTTCCGACTGCGGTACACTACTATCATCGTTGTGTTCCGCTACAGTATCACTAAAATATTTTTTTAAGGTGTTGTGTTCGGGTACGGTACATTATCTCAGTGTACCACTCCACCTCGGAACGGTACATAACAATATGGTACAGTACCATACTGTTTATTTTCGAACGCTGGTTTACAAACTGCTGGACAACGAATGTTTTCTCATCGGAGAAACCCAAATTCGGCAGTTCACAACTTTCGGCCAAGCGAAGCAACTCTTTAGCTCTCTCGAGCTCATTTTTCAATATTTGCGAATGGAATATTGTGATATGTTCAGTTCACGAGCCATTTTTCGGCCACTACGACGCGGGTTTCGATCAAGTCGCTTCTTTACTTTTCGAACCATTTCTGCTGATGTTGCTGTTTTCTCTTCGTCCACTTCCCTGACGTCGGGCTACGCTACCAGTATCATGAGACACAAAAGATTTATTCACATTGAAATACTGGAGAGCTCCAGCCAAATATAAAGAAATCACACTTGAATTCCATCACGGATAACTTTTTTTCTGGAAAATTTTTACCAAAATGCTTTTGTACGCTTGTAAACAATATAATGAGCTGTCGCTGGAATAATTTTATCAGCTGTCGGACGAGTGACTTAGAAATGACAGCAGTCTGAAATTGGTTGCAGTTTGTTCATCTCACCCTGTATATACTTTGTTATTATTTCGATGAATTACAAACGAAATTAGCCATACTATGTATGGTGGAGGGTATACAAACATGATCTTTTTTATTGTGTGCATTTTTCTTCCAAATATATTAAACAAATATATGGTTTGGGTATATTTCAGAAATATCAAAAAACATTATATCTTTTATTGTGTTATTCATCAATGTTATTATTATTATGCAAATAAATTCGAACAAGTCTCTTTAAATGCGTTTTGTTTTATTAATCCTAAGACATGACGTCGATGAGTCATTCAAATGGCTCACAGAAGTTTATTTCGATCGGTTCGGTATGTATGAATGTGTACATAAATAAAAACAACGGGGTTTGAAAACCAAAAATATTTAGGATCTCCCGATGATGTCATCATTGTTAGAATTGTTACCCACGATTGGCTTAATGTATGTCGAAAGAGAAATTTGTAGATTTATTGAATTTGTCATATGATATTTAAAAATACATATGAAATCCTATTTTAATGGGTTTATGTTTGTTTTGATCTTCTTGGTACTTGAGGCAAACACCTAATTATGTATATATAAACATGTATGACACAAAATGTGCAAAAATATTTTTCTTTAAAAAAATTTTCTTAAGTTTCATATTCTTTCAGGAAATGAATTTCAGTGGAAGATTCGGATTGACATTGAATCATATGTTCAGTTTTTTTTTCATAATCACATTACATTTATTTTTAATTCTTATTTTTTGGATTCGTATTTCAACTATTTTGTATTAAAGAAAAATGAAGATAAAAAGCAACTGAAAAAAATACTTACCCAATAAATTTGTTAAAAAACATAAACATTTGTTGAACGAATGGGAATTGTGTTGTGAATGAATTGATACTCACCAACACACAACCGCAGTTATTATTTTTTTCAGCTGAAGTTGATTCAACTTTGTCAGATATAAATAAATACAAGTAAGCAAAGGCTATAGTCGTGCGGGGCCGACCATGTGATACCCTACAACACTACAATATGTTCGAAGTCCCTTTATACGCAAATCCATTTTGGAAGATTTCGTTTTTGAAATAATGCCAAAGAGCCCTGCCCAGACGTTGCCCTAAGGTTTCTGACCCGGAGAATTTGGCCAATATTTACGCACTACGTAGTATTGTGAAGTATTCAAAACAATTGCACACGAAAGTTGTGGTCCATTTTACAGCTAAATATAATCCAATGGTCATCCAAAATGCTAGACTTCTTCTCTGTCCTTAACTCTCTTCTGATGCGAAATTCCGTGTCGATTAGTTTTCAATTGTGGCCTATAGAACGACTACAAAATTAGAAAAATTAATTTTTTTTTGCCATTTAATTCGGACCCACACCCATGCAAAATTTCGTGAGGATCGGACGATAATTGCGACATACATATAATACCCTCAAAACGTAGTGTTGGGGGGTATAAAAAATTAAAACTCAAAATTGTAAGTCAAATTGAAAAAATCGCATGCGATAAAAAAATATGACAAAAATGGAAAAAAATGAAACAAAATATATAACTTTTTATTGGTATATTATCCCACGATTTTCTTAGATTGTATCCTTTTCTGGCAAGAGACCATTCCGAATTGATGTGAATATAAGCAGAATAAATAAGATCAATTCTTTTACATATATATTGTACCTATTTTGCTATATATCCGATTTCTTGGCTCTTAGCATCAGTGTAATGGTCAGAAGTGATCTTTTAATGTATTTGTGATTTGGCTGGAATTAAAAATATTCACGGTTTAGTGGAAATTTTCCTATTTTCTAACATAAAAGTTAGGTCTATTTTACCCGCTAATTATTGTCCGATGGCCGCTCAAATTGGTAGGTTTCTGCCCAGTCCCAAACTCTAACTCCATGTAAATTTTCGCGTCGATTGGTTCATAATTGTGACCTATAGAACAACTGCAAAATCAGGAAAGTTTTCTGTTTTTGGTCCATTTCAACCCCTAAATATCGTGCGATCATCTCCAAAAACAATAGGGTTCTATTCCGACCCTAACCCCACCTCCATTTTCAATTTCGTGAGGGTCGGTTCATAATTGCGACCTGTAGCTTGATTACAAATTAACATGGACAGACGGACTGACGGACATACATAGCTAGATCGACTCAGTTCGGCGAGCTAGGAAGACCCATATATACTTTCCTATGTGGGAAACCAATATTTCGAGGTGTTACATAATTTTTGGCCCAATCAAACTCATAATACCCCCAACACATAGTGTTGTAGGGTATAATAAATTAGAAATGTTTATTATTAAATTAATAGCACCTCCACGTTGTTGTTTGAAAAAAATAGCTAAAATTATAATGCTGGAAAAATTGAACATAAATTGAGAACTTCGGTAGATATTTTGTTCGATTACTGGTTTTTATACACTCAACCATACATGGTATGGAAGGTATATTAAGTTCGTCATTTCGTTTTTAACTCATCGAAATAATCTTTATAGACCTAACAAAACGTAAGGGAGGAATTTTGCACAGATAAGTGTGGAGGCCAATCAAGTTCGAAGATGGGCTTTATCGGCTGGAAATGACTTAAAATCAATACTAGAAGTTCTTTCTAACACTTCGATATTTTGATGATTTTAGGGACATTATTCACCGGAGTTGTTTAAACATTTCGTATTTAGAATTTTAATGGGTACTACGGCCTAAGACAAAAAATTGCGTATGGAGGCCCACGCCTTCGCATAGCCTCCATATAACGGTACCTCCCTTTATTCGGTATTTTGATGATATTAGAGACATTATTCACCGGAGTTGTTTTAAATTTCGAAGTTCGGAATCGCTACTTTAGCCTATGACAGAAAATTACCCACGTCTTCGTATAGCCCCCATATAAAGGTTTTTATTTTAGCGGTATTTTACTACGGATGTTTTTTTGTGAAAATTTTCGGAAGTTTCTTCCGAACGGTATTTATATCTCTCATAGCTTGCGAAACAATTCAGCAATCCTTTTAAAACTTGGTATATCTAAATATCTCTCTTAACCAGGGATCTCATGTGAAATAGGAGTCTCTCGGCCCACTTCTTGCTGTACCTTCCCCAAAAAAGTTGAACATTTGGATCTTAATTTTTTTTCTTTTTTGCTTAAAATTGGAAATAAATGTTCGATTTCCATTAGATTTTTTCACATGTCAATATGTTTTAAGAGTATTAGATGATGTAGAATAAATACTTCAGACTGAAATGTATGGTAACTCACGCATATTTCAAAATTTTCTAAAAATTATCACATATCTCATAAAATGTGAAGAAAGTAGTCGATGTAGTCCAAATCTGACACGATATAATATTTCTATCTGATTTGATGTCAGATTTGAAATTTACAATATTGGGCCACTTCTTCGGAACCTCCCCCATAATAGGTCAACATTTTGAATAATCATAACGCAAGTCAAAATACATTTAAATATACGGACAATGGCTGAGGGTATACATCTGGCGGCAAAACCGACTGATACCTTTTAACTTGTGTTTCACGAGATCGTGAAAGAGATGTGAACCATCCGACCTTTTTATCACATTTCCATGAGTCGAACTTATATTAACATGGAACATTCTTTCCTTTTCATTCAATTTGCCCATGTTAATATAGCGTCCCGAAAAATCCAACTCCGGGTATTCAATTTATATCAGTTTAAAAATATAGTAATCATATTCCATGATTTGAATTTGAATAAATTAAATTAATCTCGAAAAAAAAAAATAATTTATTCATATGCATCGTTTTTTGGACAAAATAATTTTCAATATTTTATTTCATTCCGTTTACATAAAATCGTTACACATAGTAAAGTTGAGGAGCACCCGGATATTGAGCTTCATATGGATTATAATATTGCTTGTACGCATACGGATAAAATTGCGGCAGGTCGTGACTGAAACGGGCATTATTACTGTTGTTGATGGTATTGTAAATGGTTGTTACCATCTCCGTTATATCGCGCAAAGAAAAGTTCGATCTTGGGGGTGCAATGGAATTTGGTTTTAACAATTGAAAAATTGACAAACCACCACCTGCCCCACCAAATTTATTGAATAGAGAGGGGGTATATGTCGTAGGGTTTTGTAGGTTAGGTGTAACACTTGTGGCACCTGTTGCCGAACCTGTCGCCGCTGTCGATGATCCAGCAGATGATAATAGAGATCCAAGAATTGGGGTAAGAGCTGAAAGATCTAGTTGACCGGCGGATGTAGTAACTGTTGTTGCGCCAGTATTTGCTGCAGTGCCGGCACTACCACCAGCTGCCGGTGATGTAGTTCCAGTTTTCGTTTCAACACTGTACTTATCATGTACTCCGCCGGTATTGACCATAATCATCGAAAATGCTCGTCCCAGCATTAATGCTTAAAATTCAAACGAAAATTATGATTTAATATTGAAAATGGAGTGATTCGAAACTCAAAACTCACCGAACAACAGACATTGCAGTCTGCACTTCATTTTGTCAAGAATATTTTTATGACTATGAAGTGTGGCTATCGAAATGCTTTAGCTTATATAGGGTGGCGACCTGATGCGTCTGCCTAATGGCCTTTTCAATAACAGGTTTTTTTTTTTAACACGAGAATCTAAAGCTAGATTTTCATTTGGAAAAATATGTAAATTACCTCATTAGGAGCTAAGAACATTTTATTAGACGATACCTGCGCTTTCCCTGCCATTAAGAAAATACAAAGACGACGAATAGGACCGCTGTAATTTGGTTTTATAGGTTTTATAAACGTTGACTCATTTGACAGAAAAGGTCAACGACCTGTTGAACCCCAATCTAATATTTCACTAGTGATATTTTTTCAGCCATAATTTTGTACTAAAACTGGAAAGCTTGTTTCATCAGTTTCTCATTTTCATATCCCAGCTCAGTGGATTTTAATATCCTCCACCTTGAAAAGGAGGGTAAATATTAAATATTCGTGATCAGCATAAAATTCTAAGTCGATATAACCATGTCCGTCTGTCTGTTGAAATCACGATAGAGCCGACATTATTTGACGTGGAGCTTCTAAATTTGGCAGAACAATTTGTTTTGTGTCTGGGTTGGTTGATATTGAAAATTAGATATATCGATCCACGTTTTGGTATAGCTGCCATGTAACGCTACCTCCCGATATTCGGTGTTTTGATGATTTTTGCCTCATTTTTCCAAGGATTTGTCTAAAAATTGGTATTTGTTGTTCGTAATGGGTTCTAGCTCCGGTGGCAGAACATTGAATGTATACGTTTTCCTATAGCGCACATATAACCCGATTCTATAGACAATTTCGGTATTGTCTACAGAAGTTCCAGTTTTGGTCCCATACAACGGCCTCACCCACTGCATTATCCAAACGGTCTTACCGTTATTTGTAGTTTAAAATGGAACACGTTTGAATTCAGATATTGTTATATAAAAATGTTCTCTTTACCGAAAAGGTGGAGGGTATTGAAAGTTCAGACCGGCCGAACTTAATGTTTTTATAATCTCAGCTATATGGCTAGAGAGGGTATATATCAGTGGATACGGTTAAAACGTGTCTAATCGAAATAAATGTTTTAGACCCTAGGTCTCTTTGGACCAGTTAGGAGTATCCGATTTGATTCACACTTGGTACATCGTAATATCTTTGTCTGGTACCTCCCCAAAAAAATGTCGAAATTTTCAAGGAAAATCCGATCAAAGGATCAAAAATTTGAATAATAATAACTCTTATAAAATGTGATGATTGTCTTCAAATTACACACATCACAATATTTGTATTAACCCAAGGTTTGGTGTGGAGATGGAATATGTCGATCCACTCCTTCTGATACCTTCCCCACAAAAGGTCAACATTTTGAATATTTATGAAGCTCATAAAACACGTAATTAACATCTGATTCCATCAGACCTAGCAAATCTCAATATTTCCATAAACACAAGATCTGTTATAAAGATGATAGAGATCGGACCATTCCTTGTTGTACCTCCCCCACAAAGGGTCAAAGTTTTGAATAACCAAAGCGATCATAAAATCCGAAATAAGCTCCGGTTCTCTTCGTATTTCACACATTCCATTATTTTTACGTACACATAATCTACTGTGAAGATGGGATATATATCGGTCCAATTCTTATGGCACCTCCCCCACAAAGGGTCAAAATTTTGAGTATCCATAAAGCTCATTAAACGCGAAATTAACATCCGATTTCATGCAGAATTGGTAAATCTTAATATTTCCATCAACACAAGATTTATTATAAAGATGGTCAGGTCGGACCATACCTTCTGATATCTCCCCCAACAACAAAACGCTCAAAGAAAACGAAATAAGTATCCAACTCTATTGAAATTTCACACATCCAAATATTTTTTTAACGCAAGATCTATTTTGAAGATGATATATATCTGCGAACCCCATCTGGTACCTCACCCACAAAAGGTCACAATTTCCAAAATTTATATCTGTCATACTTTGCGAAACAAGTCGGCGATTCTTAACAAATTGTTATATCTGAATATTTCTCTTAACCAGAAATCTGATATGACTGTGTAATTTATCAGAATTTGTAATTTCGCATAAAATTGGATATGAATGTTCGATTTCCTTCAAATTTTGCACATACCTCATATTTTCCAAAAAATTAAACATATCTCATATAAAGTATAGGAAGTAATCGATATAGTCCAAATCTGGAACGTTTTAATATTTATATCAGTCTTAGGTCAGATACGAATTGGTCAACATTGGCCAACTACCTCCCCATAAAGGATCAGTTTGAATAATCATAACTCAAGGCTGGGGGTATGCGTCTGTAAAAAAAATCCGACTGATACTATTTAACTTGATTTTTAATATTTTTACAGTATTTCGGAACTATTATCTAATAATGGAGAACATAAATATTATCAGTCTTTTCTTTAATGTACATCTACTACGTTTCCCTACTCTTTCTGAAAGTATATTTCGCCGAAACATTCGAATTGACATTGAACTAAATTTTCATTTGTTTCTTTTCGTTTTTGTGTCGGCATGATTATCACATTACATTTACTTTGAATGCTCACTATTTCTGTTTCTTCTTTAACACATCATTGCAGAAGTGTATTATTTATACTTTCGTGTTTACAGGTTTTTGCAGCAAATCATAGAAATATTAAACGAAGTACGAAATGAAAAATTAAAAAATCAATCTTTGTTGCAACAACAGCAAAAGCAATTGAAATAAAGGCTTACACAACAAATTCCAATTTGGTAACTCAAAACTGTAACATTTCGCTTTGTTCAAATCTGGTAAACATTTGTTGAACAGCCGTTTACGGGCGTCTGTGAATTTTTTCTGAATGAAATAATACTTTCAAACACAAAGCCATAAAATATGTGTTTAATTTTGGCGTAAAAAAGTTCAATTAAAGTTAATTCAACTCTGTTCGATACAAACGAAAATAACCTGAAATTTTAATCGTTCAATTAATAACAACGATCAATAACATTTTCATTGGGTCAATATTTTTTTGTTGGCGGTAAAAAAAAAATACTAAAATTACAATTTGGAAGGAGATGGACAGAAGGAGATGGTACGTTTTTGTTGATAATTGCTGATAATAGTCTCACCAAGTTTGTTTAATGCGATCCTCTATTTACCTGAAATTAGAAAAAAATTAAACATATTTAGTATCCTGTTAATAGTTTGTGGTGCTTCAAAATAATGCTAAACATGCCAATTAAGATACAGATACACAAAACATCACATTTTATCAAGAATTGTGTCCTATTGTTGACGTTTTCTCCGAAATTTTGAAAAAGGCATATTTGAAACGCCACATTAACATTTATTATTGGTTTTTGACTGAAACGCATTTAAATGAGATACAGACATTTCACTATATTCTTCAACGAAATCAGCGTTAACGAAATAGTCAGAAGTGCGTCTTTCCTGTATTTGTGAATTCTCCAAAAAGTCAATGGAATGGACATTTTCGTACTTTGTCTACAAAAGTTGGCAAACTATTTCCCACATTGAATATTTTTGGATGGCTTTTGTAATGTCCGGTAACCCCCATAATTACGACCTGCTGACAATTTTGCAGTTTTTTGGTCCATTTCAACCCCTAAATATATGGCGATCGTCTCCAAAAAGAGTAGGCTTCTATTCTGACCCTCATCTTATACCCATGCAAAATTTCGTAAGGATCGGCCCATAAATGCGATCTGTATATGATATCCTGATATCCTAACTACTTAGTTTTGTTAGCTGTAGAAATATTACCAAATGTTTACTTCAAAATGAAAATATGCCAAAAATATGACAAAATGGAAAAAATATGAGAAAAAGTTACAAAATCAATATTTTCATCTTTAGAGAGATATTTTTATGCGACTTTTTAGACGTTTTTTCTTTCCTGCCAAGAGGCCATTCTGAATTAATGAGAACTGTCGAAATCAGTTCAGCCATTCTCGACATAAAATAGATCTTTCAAGCATATCTTCTTTGATAGACATATATATCGCACATATTTTGCTATATATCCGATTTGTTGGATCTTAACATCAATGTAAAGATCAGAAGTAACCTTGTCATGGCTTTGTGATTTCGCCGGAATTTAAAATATTCGCGGTTTAATGAAAAATTTTGAATTTTTTCAACAAAAAAGGTATGGTCTATTTTACCCGCTAAATATTATCCGATGACCACCAAAATTGGTAGGCTTCTTCCCCGCCCTAAACTCTAGCTACATGCGAAATTCCGCGTCGATAGGTCTATAATTGCGACCTATATAGCTACTGCAAAATCCGACATTTTTTCAGTATTTGGTCCATTTCAACCCCAAAACATTTGGCGATCATCTCCAAAAGAAATAGGGTTCTATTCTGACATTAACCCCACCTACATTTTAAATTTCGTGAAGATCGGGTCATAATTGCGACCTGTAGAGTGATTACAAATTAACATGGACAGACGGACAGACAGACATACATAGCTAGATCGACTCAGCTCGGCGAGCTAGGAAGATCCATATATACTTTCCTATATGGGAAACCAATATTTTGAGGTGTTACATAAATTCTGGTCCAATCAAACTGATAATACCCCCAACACATAGTGTTGTAGGGTATAAAAATCCAGGCCCATATCTCAATTCAAAGATACCAACAGAGTACTCAATATCAAAAAGAAAATTCAAGCTCTATTCCTTCACTTAGTACCAAATCCCAAACACTGATACATTAATCTAAATTTCAGAATTGTACCCCGGATACAAATTTCAGAATTTTACCCCTTCACCCAATACCAAATATAGTACGTTTTGGTAATTTTCCAAAGCCAGCTGCTTCTTTCAACCACAGAAACCAACAGTAACATTCATATCAAATTTCAGGATTTCAGCTCTATCCCTTCACCTAATACCAAATTTAGTACCATTCAGTAATTTTTGTACAATTTTATTTAATACTTAGTAATTTTCGTGCACTTGTAGTACACATTTCCAAAACCACCTCTTTATCACAAATCTACCACCAACAGTGACCTCAATACAAAATTTAACAAGTAAAAAAGCAGGCAATTTCGGCCGGGCTGAGC